TAGACTGCATTATTTCTTGATTACTGATCTGTTAAAAAAAAAAAAAAAGCATGCTTTGTTAGTGCTTTGTTTGTGATGGTCCTGAGCCTGCTAATCTAATGTAAAAATATATCCAGTTTCTGCTAGTGACCAGTTAAGGAAGATAAAATCAACAGTTACAAGCTTTCCATAAAGGGAGGGGAGGGTGCTGGGAGATTATGACCTGTAAGAATGGTATATAAAAGGCATGTTATTACAGAATTTCTTTTCTTCAGAGGTATCTTGTCTCTTCAGGGCTGCAGGTCTAAGAAGGGAAATAATATTTACTTTCAAAACTGAGATCTAAAAACCAAACAAAGCCTCAGAAAACGTACAGTACCACCTTCTTCTAAGTTTGTGCTGAGTGGAGGGAAAATGAATCTAACTGAGAAGGCCTCTTTTCTGTGTGTCTAACAGAAAATGCCACATGGTCCAGCGCTCCAGGATTACTAGATAGGCGGATTGTTCATTTCAGTCCAGGTAACAAAGGGAAGCGGGGCAAATGCTCCCTTCTCGCTGCGGGCTAAGAAGTGGGAATACTTTACCGTGACCACCTGCTTCCCTCTCTTCAAACGAGCACGTAAAGTGCCAAATATCTGTGTATCATTCTCTGCGCGGAGCCCACGGTATAAACCCAACGTAGGCGGTGCACCAGATAACATCAAAGCCCCAGGCAAGGGCCAGAAAAGGGGGGGCAAAAGCAGCCGAGGGAATGAAGCGCCTCCCCCTAGCATTTCCTCTCACGCCCACTTCCAACCTAGGAGGCTTTTGGTTTCTGCTTTTGTTGTTTTTAAAATTAAAAGTTAAACCCAGGAAGCTTTGGATCAGAGTTTGGCGTGGCAGTTCGGGTAAGTTTTCCCTCGGCTCTTTTGTCTGGCGTCTGGCTGGGGAAGAGCCCGGGCGTGGGGCACAGTTGGCAGAGAGTGCGGGGCAGGTTTTGTCGCCGGGTCGCCCCGAGGAGGAGGGGATTCGGCCGGTGGACGGGAAAGCCCAGCGCGCGCGGAGGGCGGAGGGCGGAGGGGAGGGACGGGCGGCGGCGTGACCCGGCCGACAGCTGGGAGGAACCTCCGGGATCTCCGCGTGGCGGAGGCGCTGCCGGGCCGCGCGCTGGGCGGAGGGCCGGGGCCGCGGGGCCGCGCCAGGGGGGAGCCCTAGCCGGGCGGGCCCGGCGGCCGCGTGGGAACCGGGGCAGGGGGCGCGCGGGCGGGGGCGCGGAGCCCCGTGGACGCGGCGGGATGGCGGGGTCCCCCGACGAAGCCCCGCGGAGGACTTGTGCTGGCGCCTAACTGCCCTGCGAGGAAAATGTGTGCGGAGCCTCTCTGTGACACTGCCCTCGCGTGAACCCCGCTCCCCAAGAGCGCTCTGGCTGCCGGGAGGGTGCAGCCAGAGAGGAAGGGGGCCCTAGGAGCCCCCTCTTTGTTTTTTTTTCTTTTTCAGAGTAGGGTCACCTCCCCCAGTGTTCCAGAATTTTTGACAGTTCAAACTGCTGTTTACCATTCCCATTTATCTTGTGGTTAAAAAAAAAAAAAAAGCTTTTCCCCAAATTCCGTTTATAAGATACAATTTGAGAAATTGTATTCAATTTGCCACAAAATAATTAAAGCCGAAACTAGCTACTTTATAGTTTAGTTGGATTCCCCTGCATTCTGATAACTAGGAAGTTAGAATTGTAGGCAGAATTAGGAAAAGAAATTGCACTTGGAAAATTCGGAACTTGAAAATGGGAAAATGTTCGGTATTATATATATTTCCAAAAAAAGATTAATATTAATTTGATGCTCAAGATAGTTAAATTGTGAATAGTCTATTTAAGAAAAAAGTTCTTTAACAAACTGAAATGACAAAATTAATCTATTACAACTCCAAATTGCATGTTTAATTTGTTAGAGAGTTCACAGCAATGCCAAATCCCATATAAACCTTGTGTTCACACTATGTATTTGTTATGGTAACAACTATTGGGTTAAAAATGTATTCAGTTAGCAGTTTTGACTTAGCAGGTGACACAGAGTAGAGTCAGTTATCATCAGCCTTACCTTAATCTTTATCGTCTGACAGATTAGGTGTACTTTCACATGTAAATGGATTTTTAAAAAATTATTTATTTATTTTTAACATCTTATTGGAGTATAATTGCTTTACAGTGTTGTGTTAGTTTCTGCTGTATAACAAAGTGAATCAGCTATACATATATCCCCATATCCCCTCCCTCTTGTGTCTCCCTCCCACCCTCCCTATCCCACCCCTCTAGGTGGTCACAAATCACCGAGCTGATCTCCCTGTGCTATGCGGCTGATTCCCACTATTTTGTTTTTAATTCAAGTTGTAAAGTTACATTTACATACGTTTTGTGATTGCAGTCCATTAAGTGTCATTTAATTTCATACCAGAGATGATTTTATCACATCGAAAATGAAAAAAATTGCATTATTTCATTGCAAGGTTGGAAGCATAGTGTGCTAAACATTATTTCAAATTTAGGCAGTTGTTGGCTGATCTTCGCTTTTATGACCAAATCTACTTTTTAATGGGCATATTCCCCCCTTTACGTGACACTATTTTTGGTTACAAGCTCGCCATTATTGAGTATTCCATTTTTAATCATTCGCATTCTGGTGCATTAAGCTTTTCTTAGCTCAAATGAGCTAGAGGTAGGATTTCCTCAGGGGAATTTTAGGGGTCAACCCTAGGAGGAAAAACCTAGATCTCTTTATGGAAGCCCCAGGGAACAAAACAATTCAAGTTTGCGCAGATGGCCAGCAGAGTGGGTGTACGGTCGTTCAGCATTTTTATTCCTTAAAAGGGGAAAGCACTTTGGTTTGTATATGAGAATTTTTTCTGCATCAAAATTGTTCTTTCACCTTATTCCTCCCAAGTTCAGCGTGGCTACTTAAACCAGTCATTTGTGCCTGCTTGTTTCGGTGTACATGTGGAATTTCTGAGCCCCAAACTTCTAACGTTCTTTATTTAGGTCTAACCCTGAAAACCTGCATCATTACCCTGGTGCAGCCCCTCCTGATTTCTTTTCCATAGATTTCCACTCCTTGCTTCCTCTGTTGCTTTCTAGCAGCCGGGGTCAAACTCTGGCTTATGGTAATTACTCCTTCTTCCCCCTTTCTCTCCTCCTTGCGACCCTGTGGCCAGGTCGCTGCCCAGGCCCGCAACCCCCTTTTCCTGACCCCAAAGAGCCCTCTCCTCCCTGCCCCAAGCTGTCAGGCGGACCGGCAAGGGTTAACTGCGCTCGCTGCTCCGGCTCTGGGAACCACCAGCGGGCATTGCAGTGGCCTCTGGAATAACCTTGGCTTTCCTCAATCTTTTAATAGAACATCCGCCACCAAAAAGTAGTTTCAGTTCAGGGTTAAAAATATGTCCCCTTCCACCCTTCAACTCAACACCCCGCCCCCCTCCCGTTTTTTTATAAAGTTGTTTTTCAAAGTTAATGAGTTTCAAGTTTCACAATGACTTTCCCCTTCCCTCCACGCGTTGCTGAGGAAACCCCCTTGGGGTCCCCCCGCACCCTGGCCCGCCCTTTTCCCTCTCCCCTCCCCCTTTCGGCCCGGGCGGGGGGCGGGGCTGGGAGACCCCATGACGTCACCGGGCCGGCCCACATCCTGCTTTAAAAAGTAAAGAGACGGTAAAGAGAAACTATCGCCCCGCCCGTCCCCGCCCCTCTTCCCGGACCAACCGCCCCCAACTGCGCGACCCGGCCAGGCCTTCCCTGGGCCGCGTGACCGGCGGGCCCGCCCCTCCGCCCACGCTGGGCGCCAGTCTCCGAACCGGCGCGACCCCGGGCTCCCGCCCCTCGCGTCCCTAACCCCGCCCCTTCCCCCCTCGGGCCGCACCGCCCCCTCCTTCCGTCCCCCCTCCCGTCCCTGCGGCGGCCGGGCGGGGCTGAGCCGCGGGCGGGCAGCGGGGGTAGGCGCGGTCCCGGGCCCGCCCCGCCAGGGAGACCCGGGACTCCGGGCTCCGAGCGAGCCCGGACCCGGGGCACCCACCCTACCCCTACCCCACGGCAGGGCTGGGCAAGCGGCGGCGCCAGTCCCGCTGGGCCTCCGCCCCCGGGGTGACCCCGCCCCTCCCCCCGCAAAGACCCCGCCTTGGTCCCCGCCGGGGGACGCCCCCTCCCCCGCCCCCGCGTCGCAGCCCACGGCCTCCCCGCCTCCCGCCCCCGGGGATCCCCTGCTGCCCCGCCTACCCGCGGGAAAGCCTCCGACCTTCGCCCTCCCTACCCCGCGCCACCCGGCCCGCGCTCCTCCCGTCACCCCTAAAGACTCTAAACGTGCCCTACTCTGCCCCGGGGAGAGGTAAAGCCCGCGCCTGCCCTCCTCGCCCCAGACCCCGGGGTCCCCCCGCCCCGCCTCCCGCGGTGCGCGCTCCCGGCCTCGCCGCCCGGCCCCCCGGACGCCCCCTCCCCGGCGGCGGCGATCATGCCGCGGCCCCGGGCGCCGGCGAGCGCTGCCGCCTCTCCCTCTCGGCGCTTGCGGCCCCCGCCCGCGCGCCCCGCGCTCGCCCCCCCGCCCCCCCGGCCGGCTCCCCTGTTTAATATTTCAGCGCTGGGTGGTGAGAGTGCCAGTCGCTGGCCTTTAGTGTGGCTGCTGCTGGGGGCGGCGGCGGCGGCGGGGAGGGGGACGGAGCCGGGGGGACCGGGAGCAGCAGCCGGAGGAGGTTATGTTTGTGTTTGGGGTTGTCAAGTGAAGGAGGGATCCCAGGCGCCGCCGCCGCGCGGGGGTCGAGGAGATTTCGAGCTGCGGCCGCCGCCATCAGCAGCGCAGCTCTAGGGCCGGCTGCAGCGGCAGCGGCCCCGCCGGGCGTCCTGGCAGCAGGTTCGGCGCGGGCTCCGCGGCGGGGGCGCTGCAGCTGGGAGGGCGGCGGGGGACCGGCGTAGTGGGGTGGGGGGCAGGACCACATCCCTCTCCGCGGGCGGGGGGCGTGCGGGCGCGCGTGTGTGTGCGTGTGTGTGCAACCGCAGACCTTGCAGAGGGGATGGCTGCGTGCGGGAGACACTTGCCACTTCTGGGCTCCCTCGCCGCGCGCAAGCGGCCCGAGCTGCGGTCCTGCGAGCCGAGCAGGTACGGAGGGACCCAGCCTCCCCGCCCGCGTTCCAGCCGCAGACGCATTCTGCAAGACGGTGGGGGGTGAGGGAGGCCAGGCCTCGGCTTCCCAACCTCCCGGCTTTGTGGCTTGCTTTTCCTTTCGTTCTTTGCTCTAAATGCCTGTTTACTCCCAGCCACCTGGGTAGTTTCTTTCCGGGTTGGGAGTACGCGCCTGCAGCAGTTGGGAAGAGGGCGGTGGGTTTGGGCGCGGGTCGGCTCCGGCTCGCCTTGGGGTCGGGCTGGCGAAGGAGTTGCTGCTGGAGAGGGGAGGGGGCGGCGGCGGAGCTGGCGGCGAGGAGGAGTCTCAGGGCTGCCGCGCTCGCCTCGCCTCGCCTCGCCTCGCCTTGCCTCGCCTCGCCTCGCCTCGCCTCGCCTCGCCTCGCCTCGCTTCGCCTCGTCCTCCTCCTCCTGCTCTCCGCATTCACTCTGGGCTCCTTCCTGAGCTGGCACTTCCATTCCCCCCTCCTCCTGGCATGCGAAGCGCTTTGTTCAGTGCAGCGTTGCGGAGGGGTTTTCCCAGGCTCCGCCCTCCACATTCATTCATGTTTTTTCTCGTTGCAACTGTCTTTACGCTTTTTGATCGTGTCATGTTTTTGCTCCATGTAGTATTTATTTCTTTCCGTAAAGGAACGGTTCATCACTCGTCTTCATCGCTACAGTGCTGCTGTCGTTGGAAAGACTCACTCCCCCCCTACAAGGATTTAAAAATGGGATGGACAGCTAGGGACAGTGGGTAGGCAGAGAACAGGGTAGCGGAAAGCTGTTACTGATTGGGAATTTGCATATTTTCTGTGCAGGCTCCGGATCTTGTGGTGTCACGTGATTGAATTACAGTCGGAGTTGTCGCTTTAAAAACTTCTAAATATCGTGACCTTTTAAAAGCGTTAAGTTGGGAGTTAAGCCTTCATACAGTTTATTTGGCCCTGACGTCTCTACATTCTCTCTTGAATCGGAAGCTCCGTCAGTTGGATGGTGGATGTTTTTCGTGCAGGGAGTTGGGGAACTATATCTTTTATAGACCATTTAGCACAGTGCTAGATGAAGTACACGGTATTGAACCTTCATATTTCATATTCTTTACCATGCAGTTAAAAAATTGCAAATATTTTTTATGCAGTGCCCACATGCAGCCTTATCGGGGTTAAAATACTAAAGTTAATCATAGCCTTCTTTCCTTCTGCTTCTTCTCTGCTGTATTGAAACCATAAATTTCTAAAACCTTATACTGGTTATTAGATACAGCCCTATGGTCCCATATAGGCATTCTTAAAGAGGATTAATATTTGATATTTCCGTGTGCCAGGCAGTGAGCAAAGCACCTGAATTGTTTAGTTCTTACAACCCAATGAGGTGGATACCATATCCTAGTTTTACAGTTGGGAAATCTGATTTTCAGAGAGGTTAAGTACCTTGAACAAAGCCACACAGTAAGCCTTGAACCCAGTGTGATTTGACACCGAAATATATAGTCATGACTTGTTGTGCTATACAGCCTCTTGAACAAAACCCCCAGAGCAGGTACTATTTCCAGCCAGGAAATAAGCGTTGAGAGTACCTGAGTCAGGTGGTGCCACATTTCTTATTTGTTGGCCGTGGGCAGGTTCCTTAACCTCTTCCTGTCTTAATTTTCTTATCTTTAAAATGGATAAATGATAGCTACCTAAGCAGTTATCATTAGGATTAAATTAGGTAATGTGTAGGAAGTACACAGGCACACAGTAGGTGCTTTTGTTTTTTTCTGTAGTACTGGATGTTTTAAAAGTATTAAACAAAGCATTGCTATTCCATTCTTGTGTCTTTGCTTAGTGATTAAACATAATTTCATGTTTAACATCATCATCATGGGCTTTGCTTATCAGCCTTATTGCAGGAAGTTAAAACTAAGATTTTATAGCTCAGGGGTCCTTGAGGATCTCATGGGGGAAAGAGATGGTTAAGTTTTGGATTCTTACTGTTTTGACACATTGTATTTCAAATCGCTGTTTTTAAAATGTGTATGTCAGGACAGGGTTATGCTGCAGTAACAAATAACTCCTAAACCTCAGTGCTTAAAACAACAAAGATCTCCTTTATGTTTCTGCTCCATGATCACGTTGGGTTGGCGGGAGCTCAGCTCTGTGTTGTCAGACTCGCTGTCTAGAACAGTGCCTGTCTCATGGCAGAGGAAGAAGAGCACTGGGGGATCTGGCTTTGATAACTAAATGCTCCACCCTGGAAGCGATGCCTGTTTCTTCCACTCACAGGTAATTAGCCAGAACTGGTCACGCATTCTAGCTAAACACCGGAAGGGAGAAAGAACAGTCCTAAAGGAGCCTAGAAGAGAGCACTGGAATAATGGGGGAACAGCCTCAATAGCAACCACATGTATTAATTGAATTAACTCAGTAAGACAAAATGAATGAGACATGGTCCATGCACTAAAGAATTTATAAACGGGCAGACTTGTACTATATACAGCAAAACCCTTTTATAGCCTGATGTACTTTAATTGTACCTGGAAATGTTGCTTTAAAACACAATTCACTGAATTTTTTCACTCTTTTTTGTTAAAGGTACAGTGATTTTTTTTTCCCTGTGTTTTTCACGGGAAAGCCCAGATAGTGGCAAAATGATGTGTCCTACATCGAATTAAAAGTTAGTAGGTAACCTTCTGCAGTGGCCTTCAGCTTGATTAGATTAGTTGAGATTTTGTTGAGTTTAGACTAGTGCAGTATTCAGCCATAACTTTTGAAGTGTCTTTTTCCTTTGAAGGTAGTAAAAGGTAGTGAAATGTGACTTTTTTTTTTCTTTTTCAGCACATGGATTAATTGATGGACATTGGGTTTATGGAGCTGCCTTTCTGTGACCTGCTCTTCCTACAGTTTCTAAGAAGAAAAAGGGGCCCCTGAATCAAAGAAGATGCCTCGAACTAAACAGATTCATCCCAGAAACCTAAGAGGTAGGGCTCTGCATTAGATAGAAGTAGGGTTTACAGTCAGTCTTTAATCAAGTATCTCATTGGTGGCAGGGATGGCAGCTTGTTAGATGGTGACCCTGCTCCATGGTCCGGCGGCTCCAGGACCCCTGTTCTGTTTCTCTGGTTCACTTCCTCTTGCCCTGCACAATTTCTGTCTCTTAGGAGATGCTTTGTAAATATTTGTTGAACGAATTAATTGAATCTGACAAAACTACAGTGCCTTCCCAAGCATTAGTGTGGGTATTGAAGTCTGAGATTCACTGTCTCTTAACAGGCACCTTGTTTGGAATGAGGAATCTGAAATAAATGGTTGGATATTCTTTGCCAACTGGATCACCATGAATTAGTTTTTTTCACCCCTCCCCCATACTTCTTTTGAGATTTATTTTTGTACCAGTCTATACATTAGATTAACAAGAAGTGAAGACAATTGTCGTCGACGTTAACTCAGACCATTGTTTGCAGGACTACTCAGGAAGTAGGTATACTGATTTATTTTCCATAGGGAAGCAACTGGTCAAAAATGTGTATGTATATGATATACATTTCATATAAAACAAAAAAAATCAGCATTTCCTCTTAAATGTGAAGAGATATTTTAATATTAGGAAAGTCAGCTTTTTTTAGCTTATTGTTTTAAAAGATTTGTATTATTCTAATGTACCTTATCCACTGGGAACGGTAATTATCTTTTATATTTAACTTAGTAGGTAAAGTGTGTAGCAGTGTTAAGCAAAGACCTGTTAAAGCAAATAATTCCAAACTGAGTAAAGTATCTTATGAAATATTTACAATTACAGAAAAAATATTCTCAAGCACACGCAAGGTAAGAAATGACTTAAAAATCAGACAAATTTAATTGAAAATGTTCCTTGGTGAAATAATTTGGCCAGTCCCTGTAAGGCGGTAAGTGAAAATGTGGCCAATTACGTGGCCTACTTGAATCTGCAAACAGTGCTCATTTCCTACCTAAGCGTACTAGAACTCTCTGCTAGCACAGGTGGATACCTCAGCCTGAGTTCAAATTGATGATTTTAGTACCAGTGTTCAATGAGATGAGGATTTAGATGGAGTGTGTTAAGTGTCGTATGTCGAAGTCTGATTTTCAGGGTCACACAGAAAATGTTGGAAAGTGACTGTATTTGCCTGTCTCTTTTACTAGAATCTGAGCCCCCGAAGTCGGACTTTCTCTCATATACTTCTGTAGGCAATGGCTCCATGCTCACAGCCAGCTGAGGCGGGCGTTTGGAGTCCTGGGCTCAGCTTTTATAATTCATCTGTCCAGAGAGGGTACCCTGTTCCGATGGATCTGCACGCTCTAAGGCAGCCTTGGGGCTGGCAGAGGCCCTAGCCCAGCACAACCCCTGGCAGCTAATTAGGAGCCCAGATACTCACTGAAAGAATGAATGCATGATTGATCTGAAAGTATCGTTCATTAGGTCATAAACATTAAATGTTTTTCATATTTAAAATATATCCTTTATTATATTCTAGATAACATGGCTATCCAGAGAAATGCAGATTTTTAGGCCATAGACTTTTCCTTTCTGTATCAAATAAATGTACAACTCAGCAGGCACTTGTTTTTTGTTTTTGTGAATTTATTTATTTATATTTATTTTTGGCTGCATTGGGCCTTCGTTGCTGTGCGTGGGGTTTCTCTAGTTGCAGAGGGCAGGGGCTACTCTTCGTTGCGGTGCGCGGGCTTCTCATTGCGGTAGCTTCTCTTGTTCCGGAGCATGGGCTCTAGGCACGCGGGCTTCAGCAGTTGCGGCACGTGGGCTCAGTAGTTGTGTCTCATGGGCTCTAGAGCGCAGGCTTAGTAGTTGTGGCGCACAGGCTTAGCTGCTGCGCGGCATGTGGGATCTTCCCAGACCAGGGCTCGAACCCGTGTCCCCTGCATTGGCAGGTGGATTCCCAGTCACCGTGCCACCAGGGAAGTCCAGCAGGTATTTGTTGAACACCCTCCTGTGCTGCCATTCCAGGTGGCAGGGATGAAATGATAATCAGACATGGACGCTGCAAAGAGAAGGTAGTGAGGGAAGAGCAGACGTTTAGAGATGACACTGGAGTTTGGGGATCATGTTACATTCCAATTTTGCAGGGGCTGGTTTGGAGAGGGGCAGGGTGGGAAGGAAAGATAACATCTGAACTGGGTTCTTAAGGCTGACAGATTACCTAGGAAGCTGACAAGACAGGATGAGTGCATTTCATCTTGGGGTGGGAGCTTGTGAAGCAACTTGGGGAATCCAAGCTCCTCTAAGTTACCATCCATGACCAGAGCATGAGAAGCTCTACTCAGAGGGGAGACGAGGGAGGGAGGGAGGAGATTGGAGTGGGAGAATTGGGAGGAGTCAGATTATAAAGATCACGAAGTCTGGGTCTAAATTTAGTATGCAAAGTGAAAAATTTTAGCAGGAAAACTTGCTTGTTTTCTGAAATTAAGATGTTTTGAAAGTTTTCGAAGAGAACTTGTGATAACTTGGGTTCTGGCCCATTGGTGAGAGTCTAAAAAGTTGCTTGACTAAGGCAGTTATGAACTCTCAGCCACTAAAGAAAGGATCAAAGTAGATTAGCGCAAGATGACAAAAGCAACTTTGCTAAAGCCGTGTGGGCGGATGGGCAGATTCGGCAGGCACGGGGGAGGGGGGACTTCATGGAAGGGGTGGTGTCTGAGCCAGTTAGCTCACTCAGCTGAGAAGGGTGAGGGCCAAGCTGTTCCCATTGGGAAAACCCAAGTAAGCAAAGGACAAAGGCAAGAACACCTTTACAGTTTCCTCTTTCCTTCTAAAAATGTATGAGGACTCTATCCCTAGGTGCAATTTGGGGGTTAAAGTAAGCAGGGAAACAACAGGTACTAAAATGAATTTTTTACCATTTACTGTTGTCCCTTGAACGGCAAGTTTTGAACTTCACAGGTCCATGTACATGTGGATGTTTCTCAACCACAGGTTGGGTGAATCCTCAGAAGCTCAACCCCTGGATACGGAGGGCCAACTGCCTTTATTTAAGAGTCTTGGGCGTCCGTGGATGTTGGTACCTGTGGGGGTCCAGAACCAACACCCCGTGGATACCGAGGGACGACTGTATTTTGTATCTCAGTTGTGTGATACACTTGGAGTATCATGTCTGCTTGGCTTTACCTGTGACCCACTGCTTTGTCTTGTAGAAGAGCTATCTCATAAAGTTAGCTCTGCCGTGGGGAGAGACGCAGTCAGAAGACCAGCTCCTCGCTGCCACTCTGTGTGCTGTCATCTTAGGGGTTTCCATTGAACACGTTGCCTCTATTTAGTCTTCCTTAGAAAAGAGCCTGTGAAGAATTTGTCTTGTGCTTGGTCATCAAGTCAATAATTAAAGCTTTATCCTTAAATCTGAAATCATATGTTTATTATGCTTCCATGGCATGTGGAAGGATTGGGGGAACATATGTATACACGCACGTGTGTGTGTGTGTGCGTGTGTGTATTCACGTGTTAAAGTATTATACAAGTGTAGAAAGAATACATGCAGGGCTCTATCCTGGAGGAGCATACAAAGTTAGTACGGATTTAAATTAGGCACGCAGGCTGTGCTCCCATAGGAGGCGGAGTTTACACCTCTGATGCTAGAGGTTCTTTAATGGAAAAGCATGAGAGGAACTGGTATGTTAAGGGCAGGACATGAATTTGGGGCATAACTGAGTCAGAGTTAGATCTGATGGGTGACTTGTACAGTTTGTGAGAGTGAGGTTTGCCGAGTTCTGGTCTCTTCACCCTTGGCCACATAAACCACCTTTGTCTTTGGTGCCCATTTGCACACTGTGGGTGGGTAGCGTCTAACAGCGACATTTCCTTCGTGAGGTTGAATAGGCATTTCTGAAGGTTCCCTGGAGAGGGGCTCTTGGCCACCGTGTGGCAAACTCCAGGCCCAGCTCCACGTGTGGTCTATATGAGCGTGCAGCAGGGTGGCGCCTTCCTCCCCAGCAGTCATTCCCTACCCGTCGCCTCCTTCCCAGGTCTTCGCAGGGACTCTTGGGTAACGTGGAATGGAGGAACTGGGGACTTGCAGGGGCTCCATCTGTCATTTTAAGATAAAGGGCTGTTTTTGTGCCTTGCCATTCGTCACTGTGAAAGTTTCAAAGCTTTGGAAAAAAAAAATGGGTGTCACCTATTTTGGGTTGTATTTGGGCCTAGGGTTTCAGAGAGTCATCGGCCTTAGGATTGGAAATCAGTGTGGAAAATACTAAGTATTAACCTTTGCAAAATGTATTTTGAGAATTTGGTGTGGCTGTTTTTCATTTTTATTGGTTGAGTGCATTTGGCTCTGAACACATTGTGAAAGACGAGAGCTCTTTTCCCCTCTGAGAGCCAGCTTTATTATAATGTGAGAAGTAACACTTGGGAGGGTGATCAGAGCGTAGCTGAGATCCACAGGTGGGGTCTGTGGATGCCCATCGCCTTAGAAGATAAGGTCCAAAGCCGTGAGTTTAGCTGGGACACACTTGCCTCGCTCTGGCCTTCTTGTTCTCCTGTGTATCTGTTGGATAGTCATTTGCCATTTCAGAAGCTCAGCGTGCAAACCCAGCATTTTTGTGTTGCTCTTCTTTCTGGAAAGTATCTCTTCCCCCTCCTCACTTCTACTCTGTTTTCTTACTCTGTGTGGGAGGTGTGTCTGCCAAAGAAGATTTCACCACTTCTTTGACTTTTTTCCCCTTTCCTCCTCTCTTCTCCCCCTGTACTCTGCCCCCCACTGCCCCCGTATACAGTGGGCTTCTGTTGCTTGTGTCTACAGGTGCCTTATTATACTTTGTAATTGCATCATGATTATTCTACAGATCTGTCATCTTAGCTGGATATAAATTATGTCAAAAGAGACTGTTTTAGTCTTCTATCTGTGCTCAACAAAATAACATTCGTGTTAGCTTTTTAGCCAACTAGAGGGTTAAAGATGATTTGTACTCATGAAATTTGCTTACGTTTTTGAACTTTAAGTAGCAAATGCTT